GTCACAGGCTTGATGGAGTTATTGAAAGCAAAGGATTTGCAACTAAATATTAAGTCTCATTCACTTTAATCTATTTTAAGTTTATATGTTCCAATACTTTTGCTCACCTAAAAATTTTGTGTTCCATTACAAATAATGCTATCTTCTAAGTTGTGTATCAGATCCAGATGTAAATACCTGGAAATAAAAGCTGAAATGTTGATCTCTTGTCTCATATTCATCTTTTGATGTCAAACCCAAAAGTAAACGAATTGGACTCACTGTTCCAATACTTTTGGAGGGCACTGTTTATATATATATACATACATATATATATATATATGTATGTATATATACACACACACACACACAACAAAACAAAACTGGCATATTAAATTGATATTAAAACACCTTAAAACTTACACCTCAGGAGTTCTTACCTGTCGGGATCCTTCGGGAAACGGTGGAAGGCCAGGTGCGGAGTGTTCCACTGATAGTTGTTGCAGTTAATTGCACTACACTGTTTTCTTTTACTTTCTTTACAGTCCAAGCTCAACAGTCCAAAATGGCGGCAGCGCCCCTAGCGGCTGTTGGCAAAAATTCAACGGAGCTTCGCCTCTTGGTATCCATGCTCTTTGATAGAGGGTCATGGGAGGATGGGAATGAAGCAATATTACATCAATTGGCCAAAGGGGGGCACTATAGCAACCGATTAGTTAAGGATGCAGGCTCCATTGACATCTTTAAATCTAGACTAAAAACCTATTTATTTTCCCAAGCATATGGTACGACTTGATAGCACTTTTGCATACTTTTATTTAATTGTTATTGTAAATAATTGTGCTTATTTGTAATTTGTATTTTTTATTTGTAATTTGTATTTTTCTAATGTATTATTGTCTATGTGAACTGTAAAGTGTTTCAAGACCATGTTTATGGTGATTTTACACTTTAAATAAAGCTGAATTGAATTGAATTGATTGTAATGTCAAACTTTGAATGGGCATATCTCATGCCCCGTATGTCGTAGAGACATGAAACTTTGCACAGAGATGCCTCTCCTCATGAGGAACATGAGGAATTTGCCACAAGAACCCATAACTTCCGCTTATATAGATTTTCCGCCATTTTGAATTTTTGGAAAAACATTTAAAATCGATCTCTTCCTAGGAAGTTTGAGCGATCTGCATGAAACTGGGTGAACATAATCTAGGGACCAATATCTAAAGTTCCCTCTTGGCAAAAGTTGGAAAACTTACTAAAACTGAGCTTCTATAAGGCAATGAATATTGCGGAGGGCATGGCTCATCACATAAAGGTGTATAACATCTCAGGGGTTTCACCCATCACCACGCAACTTTGTAGGCATGTGACCACACATAATCTGAGGGTACCCCTCCATTATTGACCCCATCAAACAAAATGGGGGAGCTAGAGAGCTAATTTCTTATCTAGGCCTAACCGCCAAATGGATTTTTACTAAATGTATACAGGACGCCGCAAGATGACTGGAGAAATTTAACTCTAATTGGCAACTGGGTGGCGCTATAACAACAGAAAAATGCTTAAAAATGGCCAAAATGCGACTGATTGCTGTGGCTCCTCCTGTGGACCAATGTTATTTTTCTTCTCACTTTTGGTATGACTAAGTGATGGTATGGTATGCTGTACTCAATGGGTATGGACTAGTATGATATAAGTGATCATCTTTTTTACAGACATTAAATTGTGATGTGACAGGCAAGTTGTCTGACCAATGACCATTACTTCATCATCATGCACATATTTTCATATTTTAATTTACTACTACATCGTTTTGTTCTGTGTCTTGTTCTGGGTACAGATTTGGTTTGTAGTGTTTGTCCTGTCTTGGTTTTGTATTGTTATTATTTTACTAACTACTTACTTTTTTGTTGTGTCATTATTGGATTGACCAAACATTACTGTGCTCTCTCTCTGCTCAATAAACAGATTTGGGGGAAGAAGAAAAAGATAAAGCCAATATTGCTATGAATAATGGGAGATGGCCTAGTTCAGCTCTGCAGGAGGTGTGTGGTTCTTCTGTGCACCTGCAGGATGCTTTTGCAGAACTCTACAAGCACAGGAAATAGGACCCCACACCTCACTGCCATTGGCTCTATAATATAACATATCAGTGGGCTCACTGGTTTAATATTACAGACTGTTACTTACTTACTTTGGGTATTAGAGCCTCTGGCAGCCTCACCAGGGTGTAGTGCCCCTGCATTAGGTGTGACCGGACAGGAGCGTCCATCCTCAGGCCTCCTCCCCACCTCCAGACGCAACATCTTCACCTCACTCTCACTTTGCTCCAACTTGCCCTGCAGCTTCCTGATCTCTGAGTCCCTGTCGGCCACCATCCTCTGGTACTCCGCCACCCTGCGGTTACAGGCGTTGCAGATCACGTTCATCACGGTGGTGACAGCCGCCCTAATGGCATTTTCTATCGCCACAGCCTCGTCCTCGTTGTGCAAACTCGGGGGAAACCCGGACAGGTTGTGACTAATATTGTTATCATCAGTCATTGTTCCTCACTCAGTGTAGAGATGACAGCACCGCCGGGCTGCGACTGTTGTTCTGGAGAAAGTATCCGCTGTCACAGCTCAGTGTCTGAGTGCTTTACGGAGTATGGATTTAATCTGAGCTCAGTTCAGGCAAAATAAAAACAAAGAGGAGATTTAAAAAAAAGCCACATTCAAGTTAGTGAGAGACGATGGGCTGTTGCTAGCCTCTTCTTTTTCTACTGTTTCTGTGTCGTTCATGTCAGCAGGCTACAGAGCAGCGTTACCGCCAACTACTGGACTGAAGTGGAACTGCAGGTGGCATCACTTCATAAAAGCAGAGGGGACAATAAACACAGCCATAATGACAAGAATAATAATAATAATATTAATATTAATATTATGATAATAATGTTATTAATAATAAGAATAAGAAGAACAAGAGTAAAACAATAAATGGTACAATAAAAAACTAAAGAACTAAAGAAAATTACCTCAACTGCCTATTTATTTATTTATTTATTTATTTTTATTTTTTGCTTTTTATAAGAAGCAGAGTATAATAAGCAGAGCCACATCAAAAGAAATAAAAAGAAAATCTGAGGCAAGGTTTAAATAAAACTAATTTGAATTAATAATAAAAATAAAATAAATAATATTAATAATAAAAAATATTATTATTATTATTTTTATTATCATACATAAAAACAGAGCCATCACATCATAAGTATAACAATAATATTATAAGTAATAATTATAATAAAAAGTATGCTAAATAAAAAAACTTAAAACAATTTTTTTAAAGAAAATCACCTAAACTGCAAGATTTTTATAACAAAAACAACAATAATAATAAATCTATTTTTTAAAGATTATTATGATGATTATTATCATTGATATTATTAACAACAACAATGATATATTAAAAACAAGTATTATAGATGTTTTTTTAAAAAAAAAAAACAAGGGAAAATGACCTCAGGTGTCAGTTCATTAGCAGTGGTGGGAAAAGTACTCAAATCCTTTACTTAAGTAAAAGCTATAATACCACAAATACTCCATTACAGGTATAAGGTGTTTAAAATACTACTGAAGTAAAAGTCGAAAAGTACTATTAGCAAAATGTCCCTCAAGTATCAAAAGTAAAAGGACTCCTTGTTGAAAACTGTCCTGTGATTGACATATTATCACATGACATCATCAGATTGTTAATACTGATGAATCAATGCATAAGCAACATTTTATTGGTACTCGTCGAGGAGGAGCTAGTCTTAAATTCTTTATAGTCTACCGCCTATTTCTATGATCATATTAAAACAGTCCAGTCCAACACACTGAGCCTTTCTTACAGTATGAACAAAACTAAAAGATTCTACAGATTTCTGCTGACACATAGCATAACAAGACCACGATACATCAATCAATCAATTTTATTTATAAAGCCCAATATCACAAATCACAATTAGCCTCACAGGACTTTACAGCATATGACATCTCTCTGTTCTTAGGACCCTCACAGCGGATAAGGAAAAACTCCCCAAAAAAACCCTTTAACGGGGGAAAAATGGTAGAAACCTCAGGAAGAGCAACTGAGGAGGGATCCCTCTTCCAGGACGGACAGACGTGCAACAGATGTCGTACAGAACATGCACGTACACAATACGTCCACTTTCTTGTCAGTAGGCAGGGAGTGTAGCTGTGCCTATTAATGCAGAAACTGATAGAAAAACAGTCATATTAACATTTTTCTTTATTGATCCCCTTGGGGAAATACTGTATATCCTGAACATGCACATTTGGTTTATTTTAGAAGCAGTACCAACTGACATGGATGGATGCATCTCTGAACGGGCTACAGGGCACAGGCCCAGGGGCCCAAAGTGTCAGGGGGCCCTGGCCTTCACCTGCAAAATGTCACTCAAATTAACTCATGTTGATAAAGAAGAGACTCTAAATCACCACAAAGAGACAAAAAACTACAAAGAGACACAAAATGACTATAAACAGTCACGAGGCAACAACAAAGAGACACAAAGCAGCAACAAGACTCAAAATGACTACAAAAAACTACAAAGAAACACAAAACCACGGAGAGATGCATATCGACCACAAAGAGACACAAAAACATCAATAGACTCAAAATGACTTCAAAGAGACAGAAAGCAACTACAAAGAGACACAAAACAGCTACAAAAAACTACAAAGAAACAAAGACCACAGAGAAATGCATATGGACTACAAAGAGACACAAAACAACTACAAAGAGACTCTAAACAGCTGCAAAGACAACAACAACAACTACGAACAGGGGCAAAACAATCACAAAGAGACACAAAGTGACTTCAAAGAGACAGAAAGCAACTACAAGACTCAAAATGACTACAAACAAAAAAGCAGAGAGATGCATATCGACCACAAAGAGACACAAAACTACAAAGAGATACAAAAGAGCTGCAGAGCAACACGAGACTCACAACAACTACCAAAGGGACTCAAAATAACTATACAAAGAGATTTAAGATGACCACAAAGAGTCACAATGCAACAACAAACAGACACAGAGCAACAACAGATTCAAAATGACTACAAAGAGACAGAAAGCAACGACAACCAGACTGAAAATGATGACAATTACAAAACCAGAGAGTTGCATATCGACCACAAAGAGGCACAAACCAACTACAAAGAGACCCAACAAGGCTCAAAGCGACTACAAAAAACTACAAAGAAACACAAAACCACAGAGGGATGCATATCGACTACAAAGAGGCACAAACCAACTACAAAGAGACACAAAACAACTACACAGCCTGTGTCTTGCTGCTGTGGAGGACAGGTGGTGGAGCCTTTTGCATATCTGTGCCCAGGGACCCACTGTCTCATAATCCACTCATGCCGACTGGCTTCACCCAGCCGACACATCTGTAGTTGGTCCTCATCATTAATCTTCGTTAAACGGTGAAGGCAGTGTCAGCACAAACAAATAAAAAATGTTCAGCTGTGAATTAAAAACATTTCAAAGAAACACACATTCATGAGTCATTACATTCTGCAGTCCGTATTGCAAATGCTTCATCAAGTGTAACATACACTGTGACTCAGCCAGGGCAGAAGCCTTCTGTGTGTTGTGGTTGCTTTATAGACAGAGACATAATCAGGTACATTCAAAAACACACATAAAACCTTTCCTGGCTAAATAAAAAGTGCCCACTGGAACACAAAACATACAGTAAGTGTGTGTGTGAGCATGCAAGCATCAAGTCTGATTGTGACTACTTCCTGTTATGCGATATACAGCCGTCGTGATCAGTGTGACTGGTATTGTGACGTCTGTTTTCTCCAAGCCAACTGACAGGATCATTTCTTAGCTCTCACCCTCTTGCGGGGAATCAGACCGATCATTTAGGTTGTTTCCTCTGGACACTAAAACAGGAGTGAAACCTTCTGCTGTTTTGTTGAGAATGCAGTAATCACTGCAGTAACATGGTGGTGGACTGTCGTCAACGGGACTGTTAAGTACACTGCACTCAGGGCTTTGGGTCAGGTCCTCACAGCCGGAGTCCTCACAGCTGATGTTGAAGAGATCTTTAGGTGGAGAGGAGAAGAGAGGAGGTGGAACTTCTACTTCTCCAATGCCGACACCCCAGACAGAGCAGGGCAGCTGAGTGTAAGACATGTCCCCTGGACAGACCAGAGTTAAAGGGGGAGGGGCCTCATGTACCCCGGGTAAGCCAACATAGGAGCTTTGACACTGAGATAACACCAGTTGTGTTACTGGAAGGTTGTGGAATTCCTGGTTCTCCTCTGGGTCCTTTGTAATGGGCGTCGGGACAACATTCACAGCATCGGTTGTCAGGATCTCTTCAGTTTTATATGTGAGCACAAATCTGCCTCGAGGTGAAAACCATTCCTGGAAATTCAGAAGCATTGAGATACATCGGGTGAGATAAAGCTGCATGACTTATTTTCACTGTAGCACGTCGCACACAACATACACACATGACCCTCAGTAGAGAAGGTCACCTCTAAAGCTCGGTCTATTGTCCCAGACTCTCAACATCGCCTCCATGTTGAGTTTCAGATGCTTCCATCAGGGTGGAGGTTTTGACTCCTTACATGTAAGTGCAGCACAAAGCGTTACAGATTGTCCTTCGTCCCGTCTGCTATCACTTATCTTAACCAGCAGTGACCCTTAATGTCCATGATTGACCCCTAACAGTGTGTGATACTGGACACTGTGTGGTATGTGTCTGTTTTGTTGTTCTCATGACTGTATCTCAAGTTGCCCCTCAGGGACATTAAAGTTGACGTTACCTTACACACTCTTATGTGAAATCTAATTGGTACTATGAAGCCCCTTTTCTACTACACAGAAAACCCACTAACACCCACTAATATCTGGCTTTTTAATGTAATAGGAAAGGTTTCAATCAGCATTCACACCCTGGTCAAATGACTTAGTCGTAGTAGTCACAGGTATTTATCTTCTCTGAAACACAGCAACCCTTTTACAAGACACAAGAGACTTTCACAAGACACTCTGAGGACTTTTATCTTCCATATTGTTGGACTTCTCTTAATCAGTATTCTTTGAAATACAAGATCTCTTTGAAACAACGTTCTTCCATCTCTACAATCATCATCTACATTATCGTTATTCAGAAAACATCTGAAAAGGACTCACTTGCAAAGACTCTTTACACTTCATTGATTCATTTGTGATTTGTTTGTTTTTGTTTTTTTTGTTGTAAGGTGAACATCTTTAACAATTTTGGATTACCTCTTAGTCTGGAGCTCTTGTTCAACGACGCAACCTTCGTTTTTATCTTTTTCTTTTAATGTATGACTGTTATTATTGTTATTACTGACAATGAAGTTTTTTGCGATGTGACAAACCTCGCGTTTCTGCGCTCTAGGCGCTTGGTGTTTTTGCCAGAGCACTCTGAACTCCTAGAGTTAAAAAACTTCAACTCAGAGCAGAGAAGCGCCCCACGTCATCTCTTTCTTCATCATCTTTTTTCCCATTGTCCAATCGGAAGATTTAAGAGGCGGCAGGCCTACCGTGGTGGTCATGACAACAAGTTAACAGTTAGTAAACAATGGAGGAGAAAGTGATGGTAGCGCTTGCTGGATACCCAGAGCTATACGGCCAGACGATAGACGGCAGGTTGTCAAACTGCCCCTGAGTCATCCTAAAACATGCCTGGAAACAGCCATCATGGAGGAGA